ATCTGAAGTGCTTGTTCCCACCAAGGAAACCTGAATTTCAGGTTTGCAATACTAAGTCACTTTTTACTTCAAAGAGAACCTTTTACTATGGAGTAAAATAAGGCACACAGGTCACCAGCCCTTGAGAGCAAGCTATAAAGTAACTCATTGCAGCAGTTTAATAGAAGGTAAAAGATAAAGCAGTCCTCACTTTTGTACCAACGATCACCACCTACCCAACCCAACCCAACAGTCCCCATGCAAGGGGACCATGGGGTGGGGGGAAGGCAGGGGAGAAGGCAGGAGAGCAAGGTGAGCTACTGTGGGGGGCTCTGGGTGTTCAGGTGATGGGAGAGGTACAGGGGCTGGGGGACCCTACATTGTCAAAACACGGACAATCATGTTAAACAATGGCACTTCATCTAAAAAGAAATGTTCACGTGATCTTATGTCAGGTCCAGAAACTTCCTTCAAATGATGACTGCTGTCCCACCATGGATTTCCAGCTCACAATGGCCCCTCTCCTCCATGACCTACCTCCTCCCACAGAATAAATGGTCTGTTCACCACCCACAACCATCCCCTTCCACCACCCCTCCCCCCCACTGCCCCGCACCACACTTACAAGTCCTGGTTTCATGTCTGTCCCTTTGTGCAAATCTTTTGCTCCAGACAGGGAGCTCCTCGAGGACTAGCAACTGGCTTGCTCATCATGCAGACATGTAAGTGACTTCATAAATCACTAATACATGAACGATACAGACAAGGGCTGCAGAGCACTTAATAACTGTCAAACTCTGGTTTCAAAACCCCTCCCCAGGCCTTATATTGTCCTGATTTCACAGGTGCAGACATGAAAACTCAGAGACGCACATCCAGGAGGAAAGTGGTGAGATCTACAATCCAAATGCTGTGCTTTTTCTGAAGAAAACCAGACAGCTGTCATTTTTCTGTTTTCTAACACTTCTACAATATTTAAATGACAAGCCTAGCCCTCCTACCCTCCCCCAAAGTCACCCCATATTATATCTCAAGTCTTCTTACAGATGGGAATAAGAAACCAACATCAGTTAAAACCCTCAAATATTGCCCAGTTAATGTTACTCATATTCAACTGTAAGCTCCTTACAGGCAGGAACCATCTCAAATTGACCTCTGCATTCTGCCCCACTGCCTGGAACACTGACTCACACAGGGGAGGGTTCCAATAAACATCATGAGTCAGACAAATCAAACCCTGTAACACTGATTAGGGACTGGGAACAGGGGTTCTCTGCAGGGCGCATTGATCCCAACACTCAACTCCTGGGTATGAGCATTGAGTTCCAAGGTTTCAAACATCAAGGGGACACCAAGTGGCTCCCAGGTTTGCCACAGCACTGATTAAGCCACCAAGTCAGCTACCTGCTGTCCACTGGGGGCCCCTCTTCTTCTGTGGTGCTCCCTTTATCAAGGTCAATGAGAGAGAGGAGAGGGTGTGTTCCTTCCTGGCAACTAGAAATAAGCTTGCTTCCAAGGGGCCCCAAAGAAAGGTGTGCTGAGAAGCTGCTGGGAGAAGAGGGAGGACAGGCATGCAGAGCTGGTATAAAAGAGGCCATTCCTGCAGACAGGTAACATCTCTGTCCCCAGAAGTCTGCAAAAGGACTGTTCGAGATGAGGATCTTTTTCCTTTCTCCCTTGGGTGAGAGTGGGCTGGCAAAGTCCAGGCAGATAACAGGAGGCCACAGGGTAAGAACAGATGCAGAGGGGGAGGAGATGGTGTGGGTGAGACCCAGAGTCTGGTTCAGCTCCATTTTCCTCTGGATTTGGCTCTGTGACACAAGCCAGCCCAGAGCCCCTTCTAAACAAACCAGGCCCCAAGCGGGGTCCAGTTCCCAAGAACCTGGACCAAGACACAGGTCCCATCTGTGTTAGCCCAAGTGCTCAGTAGCCAGCAGAACAGTCATTTTGAGATGTGCCTGCATCTTGTTAGTGACACAAACATACCTCTCTAACTCTTGGTGGCCAGCGCCATGATTCTGTTCTTATAAACTGGCCAGCAAGACACCTACAGCTCTACTCAGGTCTCAAGTAGGTGAAGAGTGAGCTGCTGTTATACAACCTGTCTAAACTGCCCGTAGTGCCAGACCTCAGAGTACCCTGATAGCCTGCCTGCCAGTGTATCTAAATCAGGCTCTTACCACTTCCTTGGCACCAGTCTCTCTTACATTCTTGATATCAGTGAGCCGGTATCACTCCTGATCACTGAGCCGGGTCGAAGCTAGTGTAACTGAGAAGCAGGCATGCGGTCTGGAAGGCCTCGCATACAGCTATTATTGCCAAGAGTTGCTGGTACTGCTCATGATAACGTATCAGCCAAGACAGGCTTGTCAAAACCTCCTTAGACTGAGGACTCCTCCAATCCCAGGGTCTAGATCTCACTGAGAACTTTTAAGCGCCCAGGGCCCCACTCTGCACACACAGTGTGAAACTAGGTTCAACATTTTCCTAGTTATAAAGGGCAGAGCGGAGAGAGCAAACAATTTGAGAGGCACCCCCACAACCTAGGGGGCTTGACGGTAGAGTTGCTATCCCTAGCATGAGGCCACATCCCCAATACCTGGCCTTTAGTTTTCTGTCCAGCAGCAGCTGTTACCATGGGAGACAAGGTGACCCAGAGGTGTGGGCACAAAATCTAGGCATGGAAATCCGTTTTGTTGTCTGGATCCACACAAGCAAGTGGGTCTCCAAAAAGATGAAAAAATAACCTGCTTGTCATCAGGCCCTCGCCAGGCAGGTAGATGTTCCAATCCTGACAGAGTCAAGAGAAGGCCAGGGACAAGAGAACTTGACATCTCAGAAGCATCCAGAAAGTCCATGTGCCTCAGAATGCAGAAGACTTGAAAAGAGGGAAAGGCAGCCTGTAGCTACTCTCTCCAGTGGACAAGCTGCTACCAAGGCCAGGAGAAGCAAGGCCTGTCCTTCAAGATGTCACCAGCCCAAAGACTGGACATTAGCAACAGCCAGCACAGCTCCGTACTGCCCACCTCTCTCCACCCAACTTACCCTCAACTGACAGTGCCTTTTCACCAGCAAAGAACTTTCAAAGCGAAGAGCAGATGGGACAGAAGGAGCTTATCTGGTCAGAATATTCCATGTCTACACTGTCAAGCCTCTCTCCCTCTCCTCCAGAGTTCTCTCACCTTGAAAAATGAGGTCAGCCTTAAGCCTAACTGCCTTATCTATTTTATAGGAATTTCTTTCTTGATCTCATAACAGCATGTGAAAGTGGTTTGAAAACTAAAACAATTTATACAGCTGTCTGTTTTTGTAGCTAGTATCTCCCCCACCCCCTTTCAAGACATAAAGGCCTGATGAACCAGGAAGGTCAGAGGCAAATTTTATAAACCCCTCCCCTGGCAGGAGAAGTACACCACTCATTCACCCCTTTCACCGCCACCCCCCAAAGGAATAAAAAAGAATTAAGAACTTCAGCTGGGACCAAAACCCAGAGCTAAGTGACTGTCACATCACACCACCTCCTCTGAAGTCAATTCTGGCTCCCGATCACACGCCTAGAGCACACTTCCCAGACAGCACAAGGCCTTCCCTTCCCTTTATTAACTGGGTCCACCCATTTAAAAAAAAAATTATTATTTTTCAAGTCAGTGCTCCCACCATATGTGGCATTTATTTCCAGAGGAGGCCTGCCCTGATTCCTGTGGACAGATGTTGCTTTGTGCCTGCTTGACATGGCTGGCAGCCCTTGTACAGCTGCCCTGAGCAGGTGGCCAAGGATGAATTCCACTGCGTCCAGGCCTGGGGGACCCTCCCTGGTAGGGGAACCCTCTACTCATTGCTCTACAGCCTAGGGCCCAAGGCTATGCCCCCAACACATATACACACAAACACGCATGGACATGCACACACACTCTCTCCTCATGCAGAGTCAGATTTTAAATGGGGCTGTAAGGGAGGCCAGGAAGGGAGGTCAAGGTGTGCCCCGATACCCCAATTCCCAACCAGACTCCATTAAATTAGAGAAAGGCCATGGGGAGTGGAGAGAAGTCGCTGACCCCTTCTATCAGCCATCTGTGAGCTCCCGCCTGACCTAGCTCAGCAATGTGGAGCATAAAGGAGGTCCAGACAGATGGCAAAGCGCTTTGGAAGGGGGGCTCTGCAGGAATGCAAGGGCGGGGGAGGCCCACACTGGGGTACGTTTGTGATCTGATGGGTCCTAAACCCTCACTATTCTGCATCAACCTGAAACCGGACTGAAAAGATGGGGGGTGGAGTGGGGGAACGAACCCAGAAGACCCCCGCTCTCTGCCACTTGTCTCATTTGAAAGTCAGAGCATTGCACTGCAACTACAGTGCCTGTGTGCGGAGGGGGCGGGAAGCTGGCACAACCGAGTCTAAAAATACTCGATAAAAATGCTAATCCCCAAGGCAAAGAGAGAACGAAGAAGAAGGAATCTGTCAATCACGAGGCTCCCGCTCCTCACCCACAGCCCCAGCTGTACGGACTGCATTCCAGTCGAGGAGGAAAGAAGTGGGGGGACAGGACTGAAGGAAAGAAAGGGAAAGATACCACCACCTCCAGGAGAGCGCGGGCCGCGGGGGCGGGAGGCGGCGGCGGAGGAGGGGCTCCAGCCCGCGGAGCGAACAAAGCGGGCCTCAACTTCTAGCCCGCAGCTCCCTGGGGTGGAGGCGGTCAATTCCAGCAGCACCCCCCTTTCTGGGGCAAGAAAAGCAAGTGTGAGGTCTGGAGGCAAGAGAGGCGCGTGGAAGCCCCAGCCTCTGAATCTTTGCAAATCCAGAGGTTTTCTTTGGGGTCCCGCTACCCCCTTCCAGCCCGTGCTCCCACTTCTCTCTCTCTCTCTCTCTCTCTCTCTCTCTCACACACACACACACACACACACACACACACACACACACACTCCCACTCGCAAGGCCTCGGCTCCTATAGCAGCCCACCTGACCAGCCCCACCGTGTCTGGGGCCTGGGCAGAAGCCCCCCTCCCCGGTTCCTCGGCCCCCACCTGGGGATGGTGATGCACTTGGTGTTGACGTTCTGCGTGGTGATGGCCTTCTCCAGCTCGTCCAGCTGCCCCGTCTTCTTGAGCTTCTTGACCAAACTCTTGACCGCCTTCTCACACCACTTCTCCTCCTGCCCGTTCTGCTCGCCCTTCTTCCAGCCCAGCAGGCGCTTCACGATGGGGGGAGTGAAGGGCAGGATGGACGACATGGCTGGGGAAGGCGCGCGGGCGGCGAGGGGCGCCCCCGGCGGGGCTGGGCTCGGAGGAACGCCGGGGGCGCAGAAGGGAGCTCGGCCGGGGTCGGCCGGGCCGCCCAAACTTCGCCTCAACTGTCGGCGAACTTGCGGGTGCTCCGGGTCGGGCCGCGGCGCTGCGGCCGGCGGGACTCGGCGCGCGGCCCTGCGCCCCGAGCGGCTCCCACGGCGGGGAGAAGGACAGCGGGGGAGGCAGGCGGGCGGACCGACCGACGGACCACAGCGGCGACGGGTCGGGAAGGCCCCGATCGCGGGGCGGAGGCGGTAGCCGCGAGACTCGGAGTGGCAGAAGAAAGTTTGGGTTTCCGCACCGGGTAGCTGTTCTGTTTGGGTGCCGCCTCCAGGAAGGAAAGTCCAACCCCCAGCCAAACTTTGCTCGCCTCGCACGCTTTGAAGCGCAGATCCCTCCGCCTCGGCGGCCTCGCCTCCCCGCTTCCCTCCTCCTTCCCGGCTCGCTCGCCCGCTCCCTCGGCCGGCCCGGGGCGTGCGCCGCGCTCCCGCCCGCTCCTAGTCTGCGTTTCATGCAAATCCGCGTGCAGCCTCCTTTCCAAGCGCTGTCACCGCCCCCTGGCC